CTCGTGTTCGGCGCGTTTACATCCCTGATGGTTGCAAGAATATATAGCAAATTGCCCAAAGCAACAGGATATCAGAAGCCTAGATTTGCCACTGTTCTGTAAACGTTAAATATGTCAATGTATAAGAATTAAGTGGTATGCATGTACATCTTCCTTATTTCATTTCACTACATATGAAAACCTTTCACAAAGTTAGGGGAAAAATATAGAATACCATTATAAACATCTCGGAATCAATGGTTATTCAAATAGACGCACAAATAGAAATGGGCAGTCTAAGCTACTCAAATCCAACAACTCATAAAAGGAAAACATTTATCATCATTAAGGACCCAATTGGAATGTTTCTTGCTCAAAACAAATCATATCTGCATAAATCAACGAACATAAACTTTCAAATTTGCATACATAACACTCGAATCCTTGGGATTACATAAAAAATCAAAGATGTACTAACATTTTAAAAATTGAAATACAGCTTTTCAAGCAAAATTGAGAACAGAAAAGTGTTAGATGTAAACCCATAAGAATTGTGTGGCATATAGATGTAAAATTCACAAAATTTATCTAATAAAAAAAGCACGAGGAAAAGTAAACGTCATATGCCTCAAAATATATATAATTAGCCAAAAATCCCTACGACATGTTCATTTGCAGGAACCTGCATCCTTTGGAATCAATATATGGATCATTCAACAACTCTACGGACAAAGATAAACCAAAACAAACTTCAATTAGGGTTGAATTGCAAGAATATATACATTTTAAAAGCTCACTTGGTTGCTTGTAAATATAGAGAAGTGATGAAGTTGGAGAATCAAAAGCTCATATTTGTCTTTATTCCATCAAATAGCATATCCAAACAGTTCCAAACCAATGGCAAATGAAAGCAGCTATTACCCTCAAAGGCATGGTTTATCCAAGCTGTTTCATCGCCATTGCATGAGAAGATGGCAGATCTCTGAAGGACCATACAATTTGACTTTATTTTTCCACTATTTGACTTCATAACAAAAGTTTAAGTGTTAAATATGGAAATACATAGGAATTGGGAGGTATTTATTTAAATGTATGTTTCACATATTCAAGTTTTTTGGTAGATATTTAAAGGTTTTATTAAACTCAATTGTCCATCATAATTAACTTTCCTTGTTTTAACTATGTGAAGATTTGGCTCGTATAAATATTAGAAGGAAAGTTTAGGTATTAGAAATACAAATACATGTGAACAGAGTGGTATGTAAACGTCCCTTTAATTTAATCATATATTGTGTTTTTTTTAACATTCAAAAAGTCACATAGCAGCATTTTCCAGCTAACGCGTTCAAATTTTGTAAACAGTTCAATCTCACCCCGGAAATTTGTTAAAAACCAGCAAAAAAGTAACAGTAAAACTGAATTGCGGTGACTTTCTAAAAAGCCATTGAAAAAGCTGCCTAAAAGGAACCCACAAACATTTTTTTTCTTTTGGTGTAAAACACCTCCGAAGTACTAATACATATGATCTGAGTTTGGGCCTATATATATGTATATTTTCAAACAAAAAAACAATGGACTGAGGCTATTATACGAGCCTCGGCCCTCCCTGATGCATCTAACAATTTGAGAAACACACCCTCCACCGGGGGGAATCGAACCCCAAACCAGAGGAGACTTATAACTGACAAACAGGGACTTATAAACTTTGAATTCATATGCCACCAAAAAAAGCCAAAATTGGAAAATTGAAACCATTATAAACTTTCAGGCCAACCAGATAACAAAATTTAGGCGTCAGGCATGTATATGCATCAAAATTAAGTGGCAAGAATGTGGTAAAAAACTGAGAAGATTTGGATCTTTTCATATTTACCTGTCTCATGTGAGCCTCCAAATCTTGGAATATTTGATAAGCATATCTCAGGAAACGTTTGATTTATAGCTTTTTACCTTCCAATTTTATGTTTTTTCTATATTTTCATTCAGAATAATTTATTTTCCTAATTTAGGCAAGATACATCTGATAAGTTTCTAAATAGAGAAGAATTATTTCTTTATATATATGCATCCTATTTGTGAATAATAAAGTGAGCAATTTTTCCACACCATGTAATTCAACACATGTAAATCCTCTATAATATCATTTTACTTTCCAAAATCCTCGCCTAAATCCATCCCTGTTATTCCAGTTTTGCCCAAATTCATCGCCTTTGTCACCAAACCAGTGATAAGAGTCACGATTAGAGCTAGCCAGGAAGGCAACAAAGAAACTGCAGCATACAATGAAATTCAAAATTCCCAACTTTCTCCACCTTCTGGGAAGGCAACAAAGAAGCTGGGAAACTGCGGCATACTCAGAAACCATTGCTTCTCTAAATCCCAAAAGTTAGTCTTCCAACGGGATTAACTAAATCCAGGATTTAAGACAACAAAAAAAACGGTAGAATTTAAAAATGTCTGTTTTGCTTTTTGCAGTATTTAGGTTAAAATCATGCTCAATTCCTGCTACCAAACACCCCCAGAGTATGTAGAATTGCTAATGTATTTATACAGAGCAATGGAAAAACTCTTAAGAAAAAAGGTTAGAAAAGAAAGGGGGTGTTGGAGGGCTCAGATTCATCACGATTCCACATCAAAGCAGAGCCGCTGATCTTTAATTCAGCGTTAACCTCCAAAAGCAGTGATTTCCCGCCATTGCCCAGGCCATCCAGGCTGTTTTAACACGATCGCAATTAAATAGCTTATCAGCATTATGATCATCACAGAAGCACCATCTAAAGCATTTCTAAAACGGGCCAAGATCGCATTATGAAATGGAACTCATTTTCAATGCCCATTAGAGAAAGAAAGCTGGTTAACTACATAGTAATCATCAGCCATGAAGGTTGCCACTCTCCACACGCCTCCTACTTAAACTAATGAGTTAAAGTTTTGACCTCCAAGAACTCTAATTATGCACAGCATTAGGAGTTCACACCAAAGAATCCGCAGCGGATTTTAATCCTCTCCGCGGAGAAAGTGGAAGCAACAGTTCGCCAAAGCAAAATAATTAGGAATAATTAAATTAAATTAAGCTATTAGACACATTTTATATGTTAAATGAATTCAGCTGATCAAGACTGGAATAAATATTTTTAAATTAAAATAGAAAAATAGCCACACACACACACAAACTATATAATGAAAAGAATTTACATACACATCACAAAATTCTGATGCATTTACATATATACCAACCAAAGTATGGAAAGAAGCTAAGATAGATTACAAATTCTTACACAAACAAAAAGAAAAGCCTAAAGAATATGTGAGATTGGAGACTAGGATTAACCTTAGTTCCATCAAAACGCAGATGCATGCAAGAACTCCCTACTAATAACACATGGACGCAGCAGTTACCCGTAGAGTCATATATAATCCAGGCAGGACAATGACCATTGCTTGAGAAAAGCAGAATAGATCCCTGAAGAAACATGTATGACCTTCTGCATATAGCATAATCTGAAAAAAAACTACGTCCAACAATAATGAGAAAACAGCCACAAATAGAGCGTTAATCCAATGAATTTTATTTAAAGGGCGAGGTCTCACACTAAATTGACCCTTAAAACAAATGAATTTTTTTTGGATGATGATGTGTTAATAATTTAAACCTAGCATGGATTCAGGTCTCATGGATCTTTTGGAATATACAGGAAGCTGTATGTACATCTGTTTGTCTGTATGTGTGTGTATCCATCTTCTATTTTTACATGTGTTGCTTTCCCAGGATTTAGTTTTTGCCTTTCTAATTTTAGATTTCTATCCAGCTTCCCATCAGTCGCTGTTTTCTCTTCTAAGGCTGTATCCGAAGACAAGTATTGCGCTTAGGTGATGACTATCCTTGATTTCCCCCTCCACGCAACCTCCCTCTCCCTGTTGCCGTCGCCATACTTACTGCAGTTAGCCAAAAAAACAGCAGTTCTGCTGTCAACTGCAGCCTCCAAACCCTCCTCTTACCTTCCTCCCTTCTTCCCAGCCGCAGCCCAACCTTCCTATCGTCAGATTTCTGCCAATTTCCTCTCTCACCTGCTGCCACACATCCCTACTCTTCCCTCCTTTCCGGTCAATCACACCCCACCCTCACCGTCGTCGCCCAAGAGTATCTTTTACGTTAATATCGCACCTTTCATGTTTTAAAGAGACGTTGTTATAACTCATTCAAATTTCAACAATGCCGCATACAAGGACTTACAAAAACACCCATCTTTCTCCTCCTCCAGGCTCCGCTCCAACCACGAACCATTGAGGAAGGTAACACTTGCTTTTCTCTCCATTCCTCCCACCCTACTTCACACGCTACACCTTCTTTAGATACAGTAAATCCAACTTCCAACAGGATTTACTGAATCCTGGATTTAAGAGGGTGTTTGGCTGCATAAGGATTTAGCGTTAGTAGGATTTAGTAAATCCAGATTTATTAAATCCCCCTACTTGCTGGATTTATTAAATCCGGATTTAATATGAATCGAAAGCAAAATTCAAACTTTAAATCCGAAATTTCATAAATTCATGAAGCTTGTGTTTTTTTGAGTTCGGCTTGATTTAGCAAATCCGGGCCATAAATCCTAATAACAGGAAGCTACCAAACACAGATGAGGGAAAAAGGGGATTCAAAAACAAGAATTAAAGATGTCATTTTTGCTGTTGCAGAATTTAGGCTAAATCCTACTACCAAACAGCCCCTAAATCTAACTTCTTCTATTGGATTAGGAAAAAAAAACCTTCCAAAGAGTAGGGGAAAAAATACGGAGTATGATTCAAAACATCATGAAAAAGCAATTACCATAATAACTGCTCAACATACTTAACAAACCCATAAACTAATGAGTTTTTTTTTCAAGAGTGAAGGATCACTTATGTATTAATACTGATCATCACAATTGTATATGCATTATCATACAGCATTAGAATACAGATCAATCTAAGGAAAAAAAGGGAAACAAGAAAGTTTACAACTTCTGAACATTTATCCGCAATAAGGCTCCCGTTGGTCGCTTGAAGAAATGGAAAAGTTTAAATGAAAAGGGAATTGTAGGCACAGATTCGCCTTAGTTCCATCAAAATGCGAATAGATCCACATGTTCCCTACCAGCATCACATGGACACAGCGGTTGCCTGCAAAAACATAGGCCATCCAAGCTGCTCAATCGACATGTAATGCGAAAAGCAGAGATCTCTGAAGCATCTAGACAGGAACAGAACTAACTTCAATTTCGAATTTAATTATTGCCGAATCACAGAACTAACTTCAATTTCGAATTTAATTATTGCCGAATCACACACACACACACACATATAGAGAGGAGAGAGAGAGATTCAGATACAAAAATTCGAGTAAATCATTACCATTCCTGAAGAAATTAACTAAGTTTCTTCAGCATGCATAATTAATTCTAGAAGACTTTTTTCGCTGGAAATGCATTAGGTGTAGAATTAGTAGCTTAAAAGTGCAGAATAGAGACTGAACCATCTTCAAATTCAATCTGCCACCGCATATCAACATAAAGTTTTAAATGGCATTTACATACAAAACACTAAACTATTTAATGCTACATTAAAAATGCCACAATTACTAACTTTTTTATAGGTGAAAAACACATTTTCACGCATAAGCTTATAACTGTTGCACGGGAATTTAAAGAGCCGTCAAAGCTCCCCATTGGACATTCAAGCAAAATAGCGGAGATGACTTGAGCACAATGAAAAGGAATCCTACCCAACATTAGGGTGGGCACATGACACCTTCCATGAAGGATTTCTTCTGCATGGCACAATCCAAAGAGAGTCCAGGATATCAAAACAAATCATTATAAATACTCAAAAGAAAACTTTTGGATCAACCAAAAAAATAATTGCAAAAAACACAGTAGCATCACTCTTCATTTGAAGAATAAAAATTGAGTCGACTATAAATAAATCATTATAATTAGAGATGATGACCTTCAAATACCACGGCTTGAAAATAGAATTTCACTCCAAATACCGTGGATCATCAACAGTGAGCAAAGCACCTGCACATGCTAAGTTCATCCAACAACGTTAACAAACGCAATAAAAAAAGAACACTTTAGCACATCAATGTTAGAAGCTCAATCTCGGCACGAAAATTCTTAAAAAGCAGCAAAAAAAAAAATGTATACTTACAGGGATTGTAACTTTCTAGAAAGCCATTGAAAAAGCTGCCACAAATATGATCTGCAATGCTCTATGGCGCTGAATGTTGGCCTTTAAAAGAGAAGCATAATAATAAGTTAAGTGTTGTCAAGATGAGAATGATTAGGTGGATGAGTGACTTTACACTTAAGAGACAAAATGCGGAATGAATATATTCGTGATAGGGTTGGTGTAGCTCCTGTGACAGACAAAATTACAGAAAGTAGTCTTAGATGGTTTGGTCACATTAAATGTCGACCATCTGATGATCCGATTAGGAGAGTAGATGTTTTAGATTCAACTTGTGTTAAGAAAGGCAGAGGTAGACCTAGGAAGACTTGGGCTTATTGTATTAAAAATGATTTTAATTTACTAGAACTAAATGAAAATATGACACTAAATAGGACGCAATGAAGAAAAAGGATTCATGTAGCCGACCCCACGTAGTGGGATTAACGCTTTGTTGTTGTTGTTGTTGGTTAAAAGTCAAGAATATACTCAAGTGCGCGAAGAACATACAGTTAGATATAAAAAATAGGTAGGAAAGTTAGTATTTTTACCATGTACACAATCAAATATGGTCTTTGCTGTGAGTTTAGCATGTCAATTTATGCAGTCACTCTATGAGAAAAAACTTAAAGCAGACAATAGAATACTCGAATATCTAAAAAGTAATAGTACAGACTTACTCTTTCCAAAGACCACACAAAAAAGCAAACATATACTGATGCACACTGGCCAGGCCCAGTTATTCATAGATCAACTACTGGATACAACACATAAATGTGAGGAAACCAAGTTTCATGGCAAAGAAACAAAAAAATATTGCAAGGAGTGGTGTTGAGGCAGATATAGGCCTATGGCTAACGGAGTATGTGACATATTATGGTAGAGTTGCAGATCCAAATAAAACATGCTAATGAAGCTATACCATGACCATAAAATAACCATAAGCATTGCAGAAAATTTTGTGTTGCGTCATCCCATAATACATGTGGACATTGACAGAAACTTCATAAAAGAAAAGACTGATGGCAGAGCTATTTGCATGAAATTTATACCTACTAATTAACAAATAGTGCATATCTCCGCCAAAGAGCTGTTCGGGCAAATTGATCATGACAAACATATGCTCCAACTCGAGGGAGTGTTAGATTTCTAATTTCTCTTATTGCAAGTATATTCTATTTTCAATATCATCTATTATTGGAATGTCACAAATTGTATTTTCTTCTTTTATCATATAGTAATATGGAAGTTATCCTCCTATATTTTATTTGTAATCATTTTCTTTAAAATTAAATAGGAATAAATATTTCTACCCTGCTCAAAATCATCATAAAAGCAAAGTGCGGGCCTCCTCCACTAGCTTGCGGCACTGGTAAAATACCGATAATTCAAAATCAGGTTAAATAAAAAAAAAGAAACTAAGACAGGCTAAAAATTCAGCTATTACAATCCACTTTAACACCCCACACGGTTGATTGAAAATATAGAAAAGATAAAAGAAAATAGAAAAATTGTGGTACAGACTCGGCCATAATTTCATCAAAAGGCAGATACACCCACATGCTCTCTACAAATGGCAAGGGGATGCTGTGATTGCCTATGAAAGCATAAGCCTTCCAAGCCGCTCCACCACATCCATTGCATAAAAAAAAATAGAGATCCCAGAAGCACTATTAAAAGGGACAAGATCAGATCACATGCAGAATTTAATCATTATGGTTGAATCACACACATATAGAGAGACACGCATCTTTAAATATAATGCTCAAAAGTTTCCAATTGTGTTTCAAATGCTTGATCTAGTCTTTTATCAAGATAAACTGAATCAGCTGCAGCTGCCCCAAACAGACGTCAAGTCATCATTAAATTCAAATTGCATCAATTTCAAGATCACCAGTTCATTTGTTGAAATCAGAGCTCAGATTATCCCAAATTTGAATATAGAATGTGTCTTGCTCAAAATGCCTCAAGATTCATACCTGAAGGTAAAATTTTTTCGATAAGGCGTCATATATAATTTTTTATTTTATGAAATCGGCCAGCCAACAACCTTTTCCCCACTCGCATATTCTAGCACAATACAAAACATTCAATATCAACGCTGAAAGTTTTTAAAAATGAGATGAGAAATTAGAGTCGACAGCACTGTGGCTCTGATTATTAAAGAGAGCATTACTTAAAATAGCGAAACAATAGAAGACAAATTTATAGATACTATCAGAGATTTGGTCTAAATTACCTTGCACCATTAGCAATATTTGTATGTATGTCTGTATATGTATATGTATGCATGTAGGTATGTATGTATGAATGCATATGTATGTATGCATGTATGTATATATATGTATAAGTATGTATGTATGTATGTATGTATGTCTTTGTGTGTGTGTGTAGAGAGAGAGAGAGGAGATTTGACTTTATTTGCCACATAAAAGTCAAACATAAATGAATGACAATCTTTGGTTCCAACAAAAAAATCAAATTATGTTAGATATGTAAACACATAAGAATTGCAAGATATATATACAAATCAAAATTCAATCAACAGCTTTCCTCAGCAAGCGCATTCTAAAATTCTCACAAGGTCAATTCCACCACAGAAATTATTTAAAAAACAGCAAAAAATATTATAGCCAAACGGAGTTGTGGCAAATTTCTAGGTAGACATTTAAAAAGCAACCACAAAATAACCCCCAACCTCTCTTTTATTCTTCTGGAGCAAAGCACCTCTGTAGCATTAATACATGACATCCGTGTCCTGGCCAATCTATCTATCGATATACAGAGAGAGACAGAGAGAGAGATATTAGACCATATATGCAACATAAAAGACAAAATTGGAAAATTTAAACCACTGTAATCTTTCTGGACAACATAAATATTAAATTTGGGTGGCAGGCAAGTAAATATATAAGACTTAAATGGCATGCATGCAAACCCTCTTTAATTTCATTTCACTTCATTTTCTTGAATTTGAATAAAGCACTTTCTTAAATTTGGGAACAAAAAAGGATAGCCATTAAAAAAAAAATCATTAAAGCAACAGTCACCCTCATGGATGCCATCATAGGCATGGAAGATCCAAGCTGCTCCATTGCTATTGCATTAGAAGAGTGCGCAGAAATGTAGCACCACAAAAAGGACACAACCAGTTATAGAAAAAAAAGTTAAAAAATACGGGGAAGCCGCAGTTCAGATTTTCTTTAATTCCCTCAAAAAGCAGATACAAACGCGTCTTCTCTAAAAATGACACGGGAAGCAGCGATTACCGCTGGAAAAGCATAAGGTCGTCCAAGCAAATATATTCATATGTTGATTTTATCATCATAGCTAGGGGTGTTAACTGCCGACCATGAGCTAGCCCAGGCATGGCTCGTGTTAACATATCGAGCACAAAAAATTTATTCGTGTCTAGATCATTTCCTTAGCGAGCTGAACCCGAGCTATTCACGTACAAGGAGCAGTTTTGACATCCTCAGTCAGGGAGTCATAGAGTGTTAACAGAAAGAGGAGTTAGATTTAAATCTTACTATTTATATTAAAATATTCATTTAAATATATTTTAATATTTCTATCCTATTTTTTAATTAATAATTTTAAATGATTATAAATCTTTGAAGACTTGTCATCAATTAAATTTTTAAAAATAAAACTCATCAAAATATATATATATATATATATATATATATATAATTGATGAGTAGTGAAATTTACGGATGTGCCCTCGTCTCCGCTTTGCTAAGGTTTCGCCTAATGGCAAATCCTAGCGTCTGCTATGATATTTCTCGTGTGATACTATGATTTTATATATATATGTATATATATATAATTTGAAGCATGCTTGCAGCAAAGGCATCTACGGGGTTTCCCGCACTCGACGACGACGATTCGTCGCCTTCTCTCTCGCCCCAAACGACGAAGGGCTTCTGCGGTTTCGCCGTCTCCTCATTTTCCTTCGCGCCTTCCAGCTAGACTTAGAGCTTCTGCAGTTCTTTTTTGCGAGGATCGAGCTGCGGTTTCTATGGTTCGTGCGCAGCTCTTTGGCTCGTCTTTTTTGCCTCTGCCCGACTTGTCAGGGTTTTTCTTTGTTGTGATGGAGCTTCCTTCTTCAGTTAGAGCACAAACCCCCATATTATACACACTGTAAAATATTTGGTCATGTCCTTGTTAAACGTCACAAGTTTCATCCAAATTTGAAATCTAAGCTTCAAGTGAATAAAGATGAGTCTAACCCCACTGCTCTAGACATTTTAATTCCACCTGGAGAGGATACTACAAGACAGGAGATGTTTGTTGCCCCTGAGGACCCCCCCAAACACTGCTATTACTGTTACCACGAGTGATGTGATGCTGACACCTTGAAACCCCATAGAAAATAATACTGATGAGCTATTACCTACAAATGATAGTGTTCAGACTGATAATTAGGAGAACCTTGTAGCTCTATTTCTTCAAGAAGGATCCGGTGTAGAGGCAACTCATACTTCACATATGGCAGAACCTATGTGGGTACTACAGTTGGTATTCCTTCTACTTCATCTCTAGCACTCCATCAGACTGATTCTTTGGATGAGGAATGACAAGTCAATTCCAGGAGGAAGAAGAAGAATGGAGACCGACTCCAGCTCGGGAACATATTGGATGATACATTGGTTACTACTAGCAATAGCGATCATCTTATTAACTTACTTTCCCTAGAATTAAAGGCAGAGATAAGACCAAATTGGGTTGCTCTCTAGGCACCTGATACTATGTATTTCGACACTGTTATAACTTTTATTTAAGTATCTGTTGACCTCATTTTTAGTGAGGTCTTCATCTCCTACTCCCATAATCCATAATCTAACCTTAGAAGTTCCTTGTTGACCATCCTAACGGACTAGTAATGAAGCCCACCTCCCGTAGAACTTCAAACCGCTTCTTGACTCATTTTTGTGAAGAACTCGCATGAGTGATTCCAAGCACTCAACTTCTAGTTGCAAGGGCTAAGGACCAACAAGTAGAGGGCCTGAAAATGAGTTCCTATAGGATCAAACAACATTAGGTGAATCATTTGTGACTCGATTA